CAACAATTTTTCTATCTCTCTTTTACTCATTACTCCCTAAATTATCAAAAATCCAATTCACCCCCTCTTGGTAAATTATTCGATTGATCGAATTTGAGCTTCATAAATCCTAACAATCTTTATCTTTGATACGCTCCCGCAAGATAGAGGATCCATCGAAGACACCAATCGAGGACCGAAAATGAATGAAGAGATTCCGTCCATGCAATTTGGTGAGAATGTCCACAATTTGAGCTTTGATGGAATGTGTTGAACCAATAGTGAACCTGCAACAACTAAGTCACAAACAAAGAAACAATCAAGTGCAAGATGCTTCATAGGAGAATGAAAGATTGGATTTTTACAAACTTACGCGACACTAAGATTGACAAAAATGAGAGATGGTGATTTGTTTAATGTCACATCAATTTCATAAAGTAGATGTTGAACCCAAATACTTTTACAGTTGCATTTTTCACATCATGGTATTCAGGTTTTGTGAAAGAGCAAGAGATCGTTTTCTGATGAGCCGACGTCCATGAGATGAGATTAGAATCAAGATACATAGCATATCCAATAGTGGATTTTTCGTCCGTAGAGGATCCACCCCAATCCGCATTGGCAAAAGCAGTGAGATGGAGTGAAGATGATGAGTGAAAAAAGAATATTGACATAATGTACCTTTTAGATAACACATGATACATTTAGTTGATGTCCAATGTGCAAGTATAGGACCATAAATGTATTATGACAGTTGATTATTAACAAAAGCAATATCTGGATGAGTAATTGTGAGATAATAAAAAATACTAAGTAACTGCTGATAACTCGAGTTATCTAAAGACATAGATGACTGAGATAGAGGTAGTTTGTAGGAAAAAGCATAGGTGTTGCAATTGCCTTGACATTTTCCATATGAAATTATGTCAAGATGTTTGTCTGTAATATATTACGTCTGAGATAGAAACAAACCAACTAGAGTGAAAATGACCTTAATATAAAAAAAGTGATTGAGTAGCCTCATATCCTTCAAAGCAAACTTAGTAGATAATAAACTAGTGAAGTGTGCAATGAAGTCATCACTATTACCAATAAGCATAATACCATCCACATATACTAGAAGATACAAAATGATTACCTTTGTATTGTAAATGAAGAGTGATGCATCAGCCTTTGATTTCTGAAAATCAAATCAAAGAAAAAATTGAGAAAGTTCAATGTTCCATACCTTGATGTTTGTTTTAGTCCATACAAGGTCTTACGTAATCGACAAACATGAGAAGATTTTGTAGGATCAACATATCCTAGAGGTTGTTCTAGATATACTTTCTCATGAAAAGTGTCATTTAAGAAGGAATTATTGATATCAAATTGCATGATGAGCCACACATGATGAAGTGCAAGAGTAAATATAATATGTACCACAACATGTTTTATTACAAGACTAAAAGTCTCAAAATAGTCTCGATCAGTCTCTTGAGAATATTCCTTTACGCTATGATCGATCAGTCTCAAAATCCCATGTATGATTGCGCATCAAGTTAGTAAATTCATCTTCCATAGCTTGCCTTCATAATGGATCTTAAGAGCTCGAGCAACAATTTTCAGCTGTAATGTGGAAGGCAAAGGATGATATGCAGCAACAGATACATCATTATGCTCTAGGATATCAACCAAGTTCGTGACTGACTAATGTTATGAAAAGAGACCTATTGTAGCAACAGATACATCATTATGCTCTAGCATATCAACCAAGGATACTGGTGCATTAGGTGGATCATCAGATTGTTGTGGTATGTTAGACAAGAGTGTTGGTACTGCAACTGATTCATCATTTTGTCATGGTATATCAAAATAGAGTTGTAGGAGAGGATGCTGAGGCATCAAAGAATAATACCGAAGAGGAATGTTGTGGTACATTGATTACATTTCGTGCAACAAATAGAAAGATGTGTGGAAAAAATCGATCATAGCGAGAGATATAAATTATGTTGGTGTTTGGTCCAAACATTTATAAGTAGACTACGTCATGGAGTATCTAAGAAAACACATTCAACAAACTTTTGTTCAAGTTTATGATTCGTGCAAGATCATAGCCAAGGAAAGAATAAACATCCGAATGGTTGAAGCTTATGATAGTTCAGTGATTGTTGATAAATTAGGGAGTATGAAGACATATTATCCAATATCGATGTTGGCGTTTGGTTGATGAGATAAACAGTCTCCTAAAAGCATGAGGTCAATATTCTGTTGGACGAGATGCAAAGTGAAGTAGAAAAAGAACAGTCTCTACTATGTGACGATGTCTGCGTTCAACAGTCCCGTTGTGTTTAGCAGTGTGAGATAGTGAAGTGAATTAAGTGAAATGCCTTCAAAAACTCAAAATGGGCAAGAGCTTAATAAACTCGTCTCTATTATCAGAGAATAGGGATACAAAAGTCCGATTGAAAAAGTTTTTCAACAAGTCTTTTAAATTGAAGAAAAATTATCGTAACGTCAGATTTCTTCTTCATCGAGTATAATCAACTATACTTGATGAAATGATCAACAAACGTCACATAATGTAAATATCCATCATATGACAATATGAGATATGTTTAGTGCTCCAAACATCATAATACAATAGTTCAAAAGGGTTTTATGAGAGGGAGCAAAATAATTGCAGAATCAGAACCGGAAGCCTTCTCAAATGTGTTGAAGTCTCTATTCAATCATGGTTTAAAGAAAATAATCACGACTTTCAAAAGAACATTAATGCCCTGAAAGTAAATATTAGTGTTCTTAAAGCAAGCTTATAGAATGGGGTTCACGATAGTAATAACACTGCTGAGAATATTAATCTTCAAGCCAAATTGTGGGAGGAGATTAAAAATAAAGGGTTTGATTATTCTAGGGTCAAGTGGATAAATGAAGGAGATCGTAACTCTAGATTTTTTTTAATTGATCTGCCTCTATTAGAAGAAGGGTGATTTCCATTATTTCGTTCAAAAACAGTGCTGGAGTTGTTATTTCTGATCCATGTAAAGTTAAATCCTTTATTTTTCAGCAGTTTCGAAATGCATATAATCCTACCTTACAAGTTGCTGATGAAGTGTGAATAAAACAAACTCTCTTGAAGCAAAATTTTCAGGAGAGGAAATATGGCAGGTGACCAACTCATTTGATAGCAATGGTGTCCCTGGTCCGTATGGGTTCAACGTTGGGTTTTGTAAGAAATTCTGGCATCTTCTAAAGGATGATATTTTAGAGTTTCCGGACAATTGTGTCAACTTTTCGTTCATCACTTCCCATAAAAGCAAACCCAGCCTCTTTGGAAGACTACCGGCATAGTTTAATGGGTGGAATTTATAAAATCTTGGCGCAGGCTCTGGCTACGAGGCTGCAGAAATTCATGATTGCTTGATTAGTCGATCCCAGTTTGAGTTCATTCCGAAGAGACAGATTCTGGATTGTTCTCTTATAGCAAATGAAACGATAAATTATTTGGTCGTCAAGTCCGGAAAATAGAGTATCGCCTTCAAAAGGCACAGTGGATTGGAATTTTCTGTTATATTTTACGAAAGTGATGGGATTTGGAGCGCGTTGGATATACCAATGTATCTCCTCTGCCTCAGATGTCTCCAACTGCTAAATTTAAAACCTCAAAAGGGTTTAAGGCAAGCTTACCACTCTGTTTCAACATCATTTATTTGGTATTGAATAAGGTTCCGAACGTCGGTCTGTTTCGAGGGTCAGGATAGGTCGTGAGGACAACTCATTAAACATTTGATTGTTTTCTGCGGGGCATCCGAAAATCAAGTCGTAAACGTAAAAAAGGATTTAAGAATATTTTAGATGACCTCTGCTCTGGTTTGAAAATCAAATTGAAAAAAGGTAGGATGTTTGGTATTCATGTGGTGGAGACAGGCTTGAACTGTTGGACAGCCGTAGTTGGGTGTCAAATTGGATCCTTGCCTTTATATTATTTAGGCTTACCACTCGGTGCTAGGAGAAACTCGGTTGTTTTATGGGATCCGATTGTTGAAAAATTTCACCCCCAAGGCTACCCGGTTGGAAAGCTAATGCTCTGTCCTTTGTCGGGTGGCTAGCCTTAATAAAAGTTGTCTACCGATATACTCTCTCAATTTTGTGACTTCCAGTTGTTGTGTTATAACGTCTTTAATGTCTTAATTCTTTTGGGGTGGTACTCAAAATAATAAGAAAATTTATTGGTTAAAATGGTCTGTCCTCCTAGTGTTGGTGGTTTTGGATATGGCTTTCAAAAACCGACCATTACTTGGCAAATGGTTATGGCGTTTCGGAAACGAAAGTGATAGTCTATGGAAACAAGTGTTGGCATGTAATATGTACTCTTCCTCGGACATTCTCCCTCCTAAAGAGGGGTTGAGAGGCTCCTCGTGGCAATGAAAAGGTATTACCAAATCCTTTTTTGATCAAGATACTGTTGGGTCTGTTTGACAAATAATACGTCTCTTCTAACCGGTGACGGAAAGACCATTTGATTCCGGTCGAATGTATGGATCGAAAATCGACCTCTTAAAGAACTATTTAGGATACTCTTTTCCCCCTTCCGTTGTTCGACATAAATCTTTGGGTTCATATTAATTATGAGGGGATTTTTAACAAAACCGTTTCTTACAAAAATAAAATTGGAGAGTTTGATTTTTTGGGAACTAGATGATTGTTAGTTGACTTTTTTATTTGCTAACAATACTTGAAATAATTATTTTGAATTTGTCCTCAACAATAATATTCAAAACCAGACATTAGCAAGACGTAATATTCAAAACTCAACTCGTTCTAAAATCGACTTCATTTTCATTAATTTATTTTTTTATTTAAAAAATGCTGATTATCTCACCTAAAAATCTTTTTCATTTTTAATGACAAAAAGGCAAGAAATCACAACCATTACTCTTGTTCGATTTTGAACAAACAAAATAAGGAATTCTGGGTATTGAAAAGCTTTCAATGTACACAATTCTTACCATCAACGGCAGCATATAACATAGATTGTTTCCTTTGCTTGCAAGCCATCAATTCTTAATGAATTATTAAATGATATTTTATATAATTACAGCTACCAACAATGGCACGTCTAAATTATATATCTCAATTATACATTCAGTTGTGCTATCAAAATCATGCCTCATTCCAACACATCTCACATCACCGTCACAATTCTCTTTTACAGAAGCCTAGCTTCGATTAAAGATTGTAGTGATACGAAGAAGACGACATATGTTTTCGGGTTTGACAAGTAGATTAAAAGACCGGAAGATACTCAGACAGTGGCCCCGGCATTCATAGGGTATTGGCATCTTAAATTCACCAATAGTTCTGAGAAACAAGCGTGACAATCTTAGTAAATTGTAAATAAGAGCTAACCTTCTTCAGCAAATTCATTTGTTCCTGTTAGTTGTGTCCTGTATTAACATGCAAGTAATTAGTATCACGGCAAGGGTGATAACATGCATCTATTAAGCATCCGATCGATCTAAAGTCAATTCATAAGCGGAACAATCCACATATATACAATTAGGAAACTCAATAGATGAGAAAATAACACCGCTAATCATGAACTGTATGGTAAAAGAGGAACTAAAAAGTTCTTTAGAGTTAGTTCAATATGTAGAGCATATTTCAGCCATCAGATATAAAAGTCTTTAAATCTAAGCTTTAGAGTCACATAGGCATTTGTGCTTCTCCACATAGCATCCATATAAATGTCACCAGCCACAATTATTTTCAATCATACACTTAGATTAGGGGTTTATAATATTTATAAGCGTTGATAGGAAAGTGTTGGAAGCATTCCTAAGTCTCAAAGGCATTGCCCTCAAATTATGAACCAGGCATAAAAGGGCTCATCAGTCATCACTAAGTTAGGGGGGGAGTTGTAGTAAAAAGAAGTTATGATAACGATCCTTTTCTGCGAAGTTTCACATAAAACAGCCATTCTACAAAATACATTCCCCCCAATCCCCAAACAAAGAGAACCAAATTATCACAAAGTTAAGGGTAATTCTAATAAGGCATAATGTCAAAAAAGGCTCCTAACATTTGATTAAATAATCACTTTGGCCCCTGTTCTTTTTTGGGAGCATTTTGACCTACAACGTTTCATTTTGGGGGAAACCGTTAATTAACAAATGGTTAACGCTCTAAAATAGAGGCCTTTTTTACCCTAAAATGAAACATTAAGGGCGAAATGCTCTAAAAAAAATAATAAGGACCAAAGTGACTATTTGGTTAAACGTTAGGAGCTTTTTTGCCCTAAAATAAAACTTTGGGAGCTAAAATGCTCCAAAAAAAGAATATGAGTCGAAATGACAGTTTTAGTAAAGGTTGGAGGCTAAATTTGACATTATGCCTTCTAGTAAAAAGAAGATACAAGAATGACCCTTTTCTGTGAGGTTTTACATAAAACAGCCATTCTACAGAACACAATCTCCTCCCCGCACCCCCAACTCCCAAACAAAGAGAAAAACAAACTATCACTAACTTTAGGGGAATTCTAGTAAAAAGAAGATATGAGACTGATCCTTTTCTGTAAGGAATAACTAATACCATGTTTATCAGTTGATGTATGACTAAGTTTAGGGGGAGCTTTAGTAAAATGAAGATGTGAGAATTATCACAAGTTTAAGACAGTCAAAAGAATTACCATGTTGATGTATGACTAATACCAAGCCCGTTGCAGGTAAGAATCATTCCTTTAAATCTGGCAAGATATTCCTGCATCACAATTACAGTTTCCCAGAGCATTATAAGGTGGCATCAATCAGTTAACCTAAAGAAAATTATGTCACTGCTTCTAGTATATACCAGATAGGTTCATGTAAATTCTTACCCCTAAGGTATACTTATCAATCTCATATATTCCGGTTAAATCATACTCAAAGCGTTTCTCAGGATCGATTAACACTGCAAAAGGTTTAACGATAAGAAAATATCACAATATATCAGCATTACATTCTGTATATAGTTGGCTGATGATCAAGTTGCAGTCAAATATCAAGGAATCATAAGGCAAAGATAATTTCAGTTTTTATTCCAGCCTAACAGAAGAACTACCATTGTAAGCTTCATTTATCTCTTGGAACTTAGCGGTAACGGCACTATCACTCTTGTGCTTATCTGGATGCCACTTCTGTAACAACATAAGAAAAACATAGTCTTTTCAGCTCAGTTGTCTTAAAAATAAATGAAGTTTTAAATGCAACAAAACTGCGAAAGGCTATCCATGAAGCAATGGCAACAGGAAAACATGACGAAGACAGAGGTTAAAAAAAGGGGGGCACTGACCAGTGCAAGCTTCCGGTAATTTAACCTTATATTCTCATCAGTTGCATCATAATCAACTTCCAAAATTTTGTAGTAATCCTTGAATAGAAATTAGAACTATGTATCAGATACACGCTGGCATAACTATAGCTTGAAATGAAACAAATAATCACTTCATCTGGGGACAGAGATAATGAGTATAAAGCAAACATGCTGGTTAGAGTGTCACAGATGTCACACAAAAAGCTCTTGGTTGAATTAACTAGACAAGGGGATGGAAAATGGTACCCGTTACTATTAAAGAAATTACCAAAATATACAGCATTAACACAAAACTAAAAGAACTAACACATTAATAGCTTCCCCCATTTCCAAAAACAAAAGGGAAGCAGAGGAAGGGATGGATGAATGGAGGTAACTGCAGGTCATTAATACATACATTTTTAATGTAAATGGAGAAGGTTATAAGAATTTTTTGTTCGTGTCATGTTCATATTTATTTTCCCTACCATAATCATGCTTAAGGTGTTATATATTTATATAAAATTTGACACGTTAATAATTTGTGTTAAATAGATCGACTTGTTTAAGCATTTGTGTGGTGTTAGTATTGTTTATCCAAAATTCCCAGGTCTAGGAAATCATTGAAGTGTTTGGACAGATGAAAGGAGTATCTTACTGCAGTGTTACATAACAGGCAATAATCAATGAAAGAAGAAGAAGACAATGGAAATTTTATATAACCATTATACCCAAATGAATATACACCTGCAACATTTAATGGCTACTGCCCCCATTATTCTCCTAACCAACAAAGCAAGAAAGAAGGCACACAAATGGTAATGCATGAAGTTAGGCAAATGCAACACGTTACCAGCAAATGCTGTTGAAATATGACAGCAGTGTCGATTCATCATGGATTGGTAAGAATTGCAGAAAACTTTATAGTACCCTTGGTTTTAAAAGCGCAAGGTGTACCGAAGCGCAAAAAGGGTTCCTGGAGCGTAGGCGCAAGGTGAAGGCACAGCATGCCTTCATAGGCGAAGAAGAAGAAGACAATGGAAATTTTATATAACCATTATACCCAAATGAATATACACCTGCAACATTTAATGGCTACTGCCCCCATATATTCTCCTAAACCAACAAAGCAAGAAAGAAGGCACACAAATGTAATGCATGAAGTTAGGCAAATGCAAACACGTTTACCAGCAAATGCTGTTGAAATATGACAGCAGTGTCGATTCATCATGGATTGAGTCAAGAATTGCAGAAAACTTTATAGTACCCTTGGTTTTAAAAGGCGCAAGGTGTACCGAAGCGCAAAGGGTTCCTGGAGCGTAGGCGCAAGGTGAAGGCACACAGCATGCCTTTCATAGGCGAAGCACACTTTTTGTGCTGAAAAGCTTATAAATTAGTTCTGGAACATATCCAGTGGTTCCCTCTTGAATCACTTAATCTCCTCCCCTACTTCACTATTACTTGTCCCCTCCTCAAGACCCATTTCTACTATTCACAAAACTCCAATTTCCAAAGCATTTCACCATAGAGTTAGGATTACACGGTAATAAACAAGCGCCATTTTCAAAATTCACAAAATCATCACATAAACACTTTAAAATCATCCACCTCACACATGTCTACTCAGCCCATAAGTTCAATATCACTAAACTCATCCACCTCACACGTGTCTATTCAGCCCATAAGTTTAATATCACTAAACTCATCCATCTCACACGGGTCTACTCAGCCCATAAGACACTGAGATCCACTCAATGTCACAGGCACAGCAAAGGTGTTAAAAAGAAAGAAGCTGACCGACATAGCAAGCTTGGACCAACCATGTCTCTCCACCTAACCTCTTGCAGCATTCAATCTGCCCTTTAGTTCCCCCTAAAGCAGTGGAAACGGTGCGCCTAGCGAATCTTCAAAAAGCACTCGCTTCTGCACTTATGCCTTTAGATGCATTTAGTTCTGTGCCTACAAGCGCCTTGCGCTTTAGGCATGCCTAGACGTGCTTTTTAAAACTAAGATAGCACCATTCTAGATTTAAGTCATTCGACAACTCAGTAGTTCCCCTCACAAAAGTAATCTAAAAATGCATTGTTAAAACAACTTTCACAAACTTAAATATTTTAGGCAATATATGGACCAAAGAATTAGGTGTTCCAAATCGACACAATGACAGAATACCAAAAGAAGGTAGAGCTTTTAGTTGCTACCAAGGCGAATCTCATTCATGATAATCAAACAACAAAGCAAATTGCTTATTTCGACTGAATCTAAGACAAACTAGACAATTTCTAAAAGAAACAAGATGAAAAAAATAATATTCTAATGAATCTGATCAATCCTTTTATAATTTTTTTCTTTCAAGAAAGCAGAAAACCCCCATCATAATTATGTTCCTTGTATCTTTAAATTTCCCGTTATTCCCTTTCACAACTCATTTGAACATTTAACTTTGTTCTTCAACTCCACAAAAAGTCACAATATCAGTTCCATTTAAACTTCTATAATGTAAAACATCAATCATTTCTAACAAATTCACAATAAAAAACCAGACCCAGTAATAGAATTCAGTTACACAAAAAAATTAAAATATAGAGAACTCAAATCAAGCAGTAAAGAAAATGAAGTCAAAGAGATTTTCTTCCGTTTCTTTATAACTAAAAAAACTACACAATTAGCTCAAATTACGTATCTTTTCAAGTCAAGTGATTTCAATCGTAAACTAAAAATCTTGAGAATAAAAGTAAAAAATACCTTTGAAGTGGAGTTATCATTGCCTTCCATCTGCAAATGCAACGATATAGCTAACCAGAACTTTATTATTTACATACCTCATAATAATTTTTATCAGAATTTTCAGAGTTGAAAAATAAAAAGAAAGAGAAAAGGAAATTGGGGATTTTTTTTTTTTGGGAAAAAATAGTGGTTGTTTGGATGCCACAAGTTCAAATATGGATCTGGGACTTATATCTGCGTTTGTAGCCTGAAACAAAATTATAAGGAAAATCTTGTACGTGTTGTACACGCGCCAGTAAAAGACATTAACCTCATTTCTCTGGAGAAGTAGGTGAAGAGAGTTTTTAGATTATTGTTCAAAATTGTTTTAAAAATTCAATATAAAAAAAAATAATGTATAGACTTATCCTGTTTGTCTAAGGTATAAAATAATATTTTAACGGGTAAACTGTGTATTTAGTTATTCAATTATTACTTTTGTTTTATAGCTAGTATTACGTTCTGGTCTGTTTTGATTACTCATTATTGAAAATTAAATAAAATTAATTTTTTATTTATTTTTAATAATGACATAGCATTACGTTATGGTAACATGTTAGCACTATCGTTAACTTCTTAATGACGGGTGATCAAAACAGAATAAATACATAACTTTAGGTATGATTTAAAATAATTATTATTAGAAGACCAAAACGAACCAAAATGATAGTTAGAAGATTAAATACATAATTTACCCTATTTTAATTTAAGCGGTTCGATTTAAGGAGTAACTTATCCAAATGTTGCTTGCAGAATTTATATATTGTTATTATTCTCTAAAATCCATCAATTTTGTTTTAATATATTTACTTTGGTATTCGAAGAGGAAGAGTAAATAAAATGGAATTGGTTAATATCAAACGTAACATTCCGCCATGAAAGTGTCTCTAAACTATTGAATTAAAGGTAGTTTCAAAGTCTACAAATATAATTATAAAAGTCACACATAATACATATTTAAATAATTACGATTTGAATTAATCAAATTTTTGGTACGATGACAATATATTAATTGATATTAGATTTTGAATTTAATTTTAAATATTTTTCTTAAGATTTCAACCTTAAATATACATAAATACTAAGTAAAGACAAAGGAAAGAATATCAGGGCCGTGGCTAGGTTGTTGGAGATCCTGTGCAAATTCTTGTAAAGGGGCCCTTAGATCTCGAACTTATTTTTCTGAAATAATAAAAACTTACAGATGTATTACATTGAGCAAACCCACTTACATTGTTTTCCCAAAAATAATTTTGCTTGTTAACAAGATTCGAACTTAGGATCAACAAAGTCATGGGCCCAATGATCTAACTACTGCTCTATACCTATTTTTCTACTTCTTAATGGCAACAACTGATAGATATACTCGATTTCGGAGCCCCTATTTTTTGAGGCCTTACGTCGTCGCGCACTTTACACACCCTCAACCACGCCCCTGAAGAAGGTCATAAAATATGTTAGTCATAACATTGAAGTCACCGATAAAACTAGCATCAACATATAAGTTCTTCTCATGATGGATATCAAAAGTCTTCAAGAACATCTTCTAGTCATTAGCAAGAGAATTAAGATGAACCAACAATCATGCTAATGATAGAAGCAATATCCAACTCAGAAAATATTTTTAAGCAAAGCAAGAGAAAATCATATTAATAGGCAACTATATTAGCGGAATGGAAAAGAAAATTATATGAGCTAACGATATATAGGTCATTATGATCTCTAATGAATAAGTTCGTAAATGAAACGAAACATATTGTGAGTTATTCAAGTTTGATTTGGTCAAAGTTTAGTCAACAATCAAATCAAATGGTTGTCATGTATTTAAAGTTCATATTCGAACTCGAGTTCAAATTTAAGTTGAACTCGAGTTCAAATTTAAGTTGAACTCGAGTTCGACCCTAAATCGAGCTAAATTTGATAATGTTTTGAATTCAAGTTTATGTCTATTCTATTCAATTCAGACTAATTGGATCATCTATTTGATTTTATTTGAAAGAGAAAAAGCTCCAACATCTAAAACATTAGGTTCTGAAATAATAGTCTTATTATAGATGATGTTTTCGAAGATAATTTCTATAACACCCTGAAAATCGAGTTAGTAGTTTTGAGTAAATCTTTTGAGTTAAGTGTTGAGAGAGGTGTTTTACTTGAGAGAAAATAGAGTTTTAGACGAGGAGTTGGGTTAAGTGTTGCATGGGATGTGAATAAGTTGACCCTCAAATATGATAAAAATGACATTTTTGAATTGATATTAAAGAAAAGAGGACTAAACTGGTAATTAAGCTCTTGTTTGAAATATGGTTGATTTCTCATTAAAATGGATGAGGACTGTAACCTTCCAAATCAGAGTCAGTGACTAAATTGCAAATTTTGAAAATTTTGTGCTTGATTTCGAAACAAGTTAAAAGTTTAAGGACTTAAATAGGAATATTTTAGTATTTGATTAAATGGTAATAGGGATGGCAAAAAAACCCGAACCCGACGGGGGGGAAAACTGAAAATCGAATTAAACGGGGATGAGGAAAAATCGTTTATGCTAAACGGGGACGGGGGAAAACCGCTTATGTTAAACAAGAACGGGAACGGAGACGGGTTTAGTAATCCCCACCCCGATTACCCGGCCTGATAAATATTAAAAATAATTATTTTATATATATATAATTATTAAATTTAAATTAAATTAAAAAATATATATAATATTTATATATTTAATTTAAATATATATACCCAGCCCGATACCCGTTTAAATAACCATTTATGCTAAACGGGATACCCGTTTCCCCGCTGTTTTCCCCGATTACCCAATGGGGATCCCCGTTTAAATCCCTACGGTTTTTTAAGCGAGAACAGGTACGGGTTTTTTAAACGGGGACGGGGGACCAATACCCGGCCTGAATCCAACCCGTTGCCATCCCTAAATGGTAATTATAGAGGGATTAAAAATGGTATTATGGTAAATTTAACTTAAAGGATATCTTATCTCCTTATTTAGGGAGATAACACATGGGGATTGAGATATATCCAGAAACTTATTTCCTCTTGCTTTCTTCTTCTTCTTCTTCCCGTGTGCTCAAGCTCCAAGCAAAGGTGAGTTTTTCAGATGGTTAATTATTTGTTAAATTTAAAGTTGGGGTATGATCCTTAGATGATGCATAAGCTTAAGGAAAACTTAAGTTATGGTAAAATCAAAGAATGAATGAGTTAAGAGAGATTAAAGATTATGAGTTTTTAAATGAAATTTTGGAAAAGAGTTGATAAGTAGAATTTGAATTTGAATTTAAATTTGACTTTTCAATAGTTGAATTAAGAGATTTGGAGTGATATAATTGGATTTAGAACATATAGAAAAGTTGGTATGATTCTTGAATTCCATATGGAAGATAGGATTTTGAGGTTAAAGAAGTGATAAATGAGAATAAATGATTTTAAGCATCAGTATGTAAGTTAAGAATAAGAAAGGGGGTGATATATAAAGCAATTAAGCTGAAAAGAGTGAATTTTCGTGCTTAAAATTGATTTCTGGGCAAGGGTGTATCGATACCCATTCAACAGGTACCGATACCTCAAGAGTAAAATTCAGGAAGATATTCAAAGTGTACCGATACATAGGAAGTGTATCGATACCCCCTTGAAACAAAAATTTCGAATATAATTTGTGTACCGATACATAGGCAGTGTATTGATACACCAGTGAAGGGATGTATCGATACCCTATAGTGTGTACCGATACACTTCAAAGGGAAAATAGAAATAGATCTTTCCTTTAGTTTAAGAAATAAAATATTAGAGTATGCCAATTGGAATATTGATATGTATCAATACATGATTGTGTAGACATCGATCGAAAGTAAAGTTCGGATAGGACGACAGAGTAAGATTCGCAAGAAAGAACAAAAGCTTGATAGTGCTCATTGGGCCCAGGTGAGTACATGATATTAAGTATACGCGATGTTTAGGGAATTAAGACTTGTGATGAGTCTAATTCCGATAATAGATTACATGAGTACAAGAATACAAGCATGGTATGATATGATGTTTATGAGTACCAGAGCCTAATCATGTAGTGATATGGTACTAGATATATGTGAGTAAAAGCATATGTCTAATCGTTGAGTGCATCTTTATAGGTGAACCATGTGAATGCATGTATGTGTGATAATATGTTAGGTGATTATAAGAGATAAACTAAATGATAAAAGATATGTGAAAGTGATACGACTTATGTGTGTTTCTATTAAAATGTTACATGATATGATATATATGTTAAATGTGTTATGTGAATATATGTCAGTGTAATGAGCTATGTTATAAGTTATAATTGAATCATATGATGGTATAAGAAATGATATGAATTATATATGAGAACATGTATATGTTAGGAGATAAGACTTATGAATATGAGCTATGTGAAAAATAATACAATTAAATATGAAAAGTTATGTGATACATGAATGTGAATTACAAGGAAATATGTTACATGAAATTAAACTATGAGCCTATGTGAAGAAGTGAAATGCTATAAAAGATAATGCCCATGTCATGTGTTATGAGAGCTATAGATATAATTGTCATGCCAAGAGTCGAGGGTTCTACGTGGTCCTTCGGGACATTTCTACGTGGTCATTCGGGATAAATTCATATGCCCCTAGTGTGACCTTATACGAGCTGTGGTGACATCATAGTGCACAACCTCTATGTACTCGCATACCTTAAGTTCTCAAAAGTATACATGGGCTAAACAAAGTGATAACATAAGGAAATCTTGTATGATATTATATGCGTTATATGTGAAAGATATATAAGGGAATAATTACAAAGGTTAAGATTAAATTATATGTTCTAAAGGGATTAATGTTAGAGATAATGTGATTAGAATATGATGCTATATGTGCATGTATATATATTTGGTTGTATGATTTGATATATGATGTTTGTTTTATATTTTGATGGGATTAAGTATGTATATACGTATGATGTTATGTTACATGATATGTGCATGCTTTTAATAATTAATTATAGTTTACATTATATATTTACATGTCTCACTAAGTCAATGACTTAGCGTGTGATTGTTTCACATGTAGGTTCTGAGAAGAGGAAAAGGGATAAAAGATTAGCAAGTCAGGTCAGCTTCTCATTCC